CGTGCTTTGTTCCCAGCCCCAAAAGTCGCTCCTCCTCTGTGGCTTGCTGAGCATGGAGCAGTTTCATCACGATGAGCAGCTGTAGGCAGCAGTGGCCGTTCAAACTGGCCTTTAGTTACTGCTCAGGAGATGGGTATGGGGTGAGCTGGTGGGATTGAGCGTGCCTCTGCAGCTCCAAAGCCAGCAACCTAGGTCCTTCTCTTGGTCAGATGAGCAGCAGGTTTGTTCCTAAGTCACCCCCCTGGTTTTGACCCATCAGCAGCTTTCCCTAGAGCAGCTTGCTAAACAGAAATCCATTACAGCTAGCTGTTCCTCCCAGGATGGCACGTCTGCCACGAAGGTTGTGTTGCATTGCCACGCTCCGTGGTTGTCTCCCACAATAGCATCAAGCAAATGTCCCCTTTGCTGGGTTCACAGTAGCAGCGTTATCACCAGTGGCTCTTCAGTAGCGGCAGGGGCTGGAAGGGTGGCTACCGGTGTAAGGAGGGAAGGAAGGGGTCAGTGCAGCAGAAGCATTCCTGTTCCCTGTTTTCCATCCCTCCCAGCGGCTGCCTGCCCCCTGTGCGGGTGGGATTGGTGGAGCTGCAGCCCTGTGCTCTATGAGTACTGCTCCTGCATCCCCCGGAGGCTGTGTCGGGACGGCATCCAGCACTGCCTGGACTGGTCCGATGAGTACGTCTGCACCCCGTGAACGGACTGCAGTGTCACCTTGACGCCTCGGTGTCCTCCTGCTTGCAAACCCTCACTAGCAGCATAATGACACTTAACAGGGATGAAATGCTATGGCAGCCCGTGCTGCAGGCTGGATGCTGGCTGCGGGGATACCCTCAAGGGCCTCCTCTTATGTGAGGGTGAGTCCTTTCCTCGTGGGCACAGCACTGTCTTGCAGCATTGACTCAATGGGTTGTGTGCCAGCTCTGCCAACACAGATGCTGTGTCTGGACAGCCCAGAGCAAGGAGCTCCTCCTGTATGGACGTGTTGGTGCCTTTGCAGGCAGCCAGATGAAGGCACGTTGAGGAGCTGGGTGAGGAGAGCCTTTCTAGCCCTTGGGTTAACACTTCCCTTCAACACATCTTCAACACTTCTGATCCTCACGGGCAGGAGCAGCTTGTGCTTGTGTCTGCAGATGGTTTCAGCAGCAGCTCTGAAGGATCTGCATTGGTGCTCCCAGGATGCTTCCTTGGGAGCGCTGTGCGGATGGCACCGCGGAGAGCTGCTGCAGAGCCCACCTCCTGTGCTCTTCTCAAGCTGTGGAGGCCAATACGAGTGTCATGGCAAGGAAACCTGGAGAGGTTTCAGGGTCTGTGGGGGTAAATCACTGTGTCCCAGTGTAGCTGTCCCTGCAAGCCAGGGCAGGAACCAGCACGTGCGTAAAATGCGCTTCTCAGGGCTGCGCTGTTCTGGAGCAGCAGCTGAGCAGGGTGAGAACAGCCTGGGCTGGGGTGCGTTTGCACGGGAGTTGGCAAAGAAAGGAGGGGGAAAAAGTCACAGCCTTTGAGCAGGGAGCAGGAGAAAACCAAGTGCTGCTCCCAGGGCAGAATGGGGTGACACCGGGGTCTGTGCATGGCTTGTTTGGTTCCTGTGCCAGCAAAGCAGGATCAGGCAGCCAAACCTGCAAGGATATAGATGTGGATGTGCCACTGAAATGTAAGGAAAGTCTTTCTCTGCTCCTTTGACAACCCCATCTGTGTCTAAAACATCACCTCTGAGAAAACCCCACATTACAGCGAGGTCATTTACTTTCCTAGGCCCCAAACAAACACCAAGGGAGCTTTTCCCCACCACCATCCCAGGTCATGGATCTTTAAAAATAGCCCCCTGTTCACTCCTTTCCCCTCTGTCCTGTGACCTGCAGCTCTGCAGGTCCCTGTGACCGGTATCAATGGTGAATGTTCTGATGTGTCACTGGGATGCAGCTGTAGATTAGAGACCTTTTAAAAATAGCTTTACAAGTGTTCTGACTCATACTTCACCTGGAATGAGATGGCAAATCTCTGCATTATGGAACTGGTACTGTGGGAAACCCTGAAAGCCACATTTAATAACCCAAAGAGGAGCTCAAGGAGGGGGAATTCAAGGGAAGAGCTGCTGGTTCAGCCACTCTGAGGAAGAAGAGCTGCTCTCTGATTCACTCTGAGTTCAGGCACGGGCTGTTTGCCTGCTCCTTGGCTTTGAAGTGGGAGGATGTGCAACAAGCCCTCCCCACTGGTAGGGGCAGGTGGACTGCGATGCTGCATGCTTCTATAGCATAGGGCCCAGCCAGTATGATTGCTAAAAGCCCCCTATGCTTTGTATCAAAGATACTGGGATAGCCATGGCTTTCTGGATCCTCCAATGCTTGCTGTGGTTGGGAAGAGGATGCTGGTTAGGCTGATCCATATGGCAACTGCTGTATTCTCCCACTCCAGTATTTGTTGATCATTGCCAAGTTCTAAGATGTTCCTGAGGGTGAAAAGGAAAGGGTTGGGGCATGCAATGTGTAAGCATGGGGAGCCAAGTGCTTGTGCTTGCTATGTGGAGCTTCACCGCAGCAGAGGTCAAGCGGTGGCTTGCCTTGGCTGGCTGGGGATGATGTTGGGGTCTGGGAATTCTTACTTTATTGTGAGACATGATAAAGAAGGCAAATGCCTGGCTGAAGGCAGGGAAGGTTATTGTGCCACCTCCTCTCTCCTTCAGCAGGAAGGTATGGAAACAGAGGCAGGCTTAGGGCACGTGGAGGATATCCCTGGCTGTCACCTCCCTTTCTGCTATCTTTCAGCTTTGTAACTGAGCTGAGCCCAAAGAAATGGGGTCAGGAATGTGATCTCTGCAGCTAAGATAGCCAGTAAAGTTCTGCTGGTGTCAGAGGAGCTGGTGCCTGCAGGGTAGAGCCCCAGGGCTGCTCTCAGGCTGACATCCCTGTATCACTTCATAGTGAGCGCTCCTGCGAGGCCAGGGCTGTGATTTATGGCCCCAGGTTAGGAGAGAGGAAGCAGGGACTCATCCTGCTCTGCATTTATGCCTGTGAAGAGAATACCCTAGAGAGGCAGGGAAGCAGAAGCAGTCCATGGGCAGCAAGATGCAGAAGCCAGCCTGGAAACAGCCAGGGATGCAGCAGGGGCCTTGATAGATTGAGCCTATCTGTTGAAGGGTGAGTCCCCTCCTGTAATTTTCTTACTTACTGCCTTGCTCCTGGTCAGCGGGGGCTGTGTGCCTTACAGAGAGCAATACACAGAGATCAGTAGGTTGAGGCCACAGTAAATGTGTCTAAGTCTTCCTAGAATAAAATTCATACAATGGTGCGTTTAAAAGAGCAAGGCTGCTGAAAGCAAGAAACCTAAGGAAAGGAATGATTGTAGCAGGGGTGAAGAACAGAAGGAACACAGTGCTCTAGAACACCTCTTCTGAAAAGGAAGGGTGTTCTGTATTGGTTTACTACCAAGCCTGTGAACTGGGCAGACTGTTGATGTCAAATCACAATGTGCCTGTTTTCCAGCTCAAGGCATCTGCTCCCAGCTGCTTTACTTGATGTGAATTGGGAGTATAGGACTGTGAGATGTGCATCTCTCCATGGTCTGATTAGCAGATCTCCACAGTGGTGGAGGGGATACTAAAAGCAATCCATGGGGGCTGTGGAACCACAAGCCAGCTGCAGGAGGAGGGTTATGCTTGAGGGCCACACTCATCTTCCTCCTTGTTGAAAGGCTCTTTTGCTAAGTCACTACTAGTGCCATTATTTGTCTCTGCAGAGAGCTGATGCAGTTGTCAGTGGAAGCTATTAATAGACTTGTTTCTGGGGAAAAAATGTAGGGCTGGAATGCAAGTCTGAGTGTTTTGTTTGTGTGTAGTCCTTTTTTGCGAGGAAAGTTTAGCAGTAAAAGAGCAAAGAGAGAAAGGGGGTTAGTTTTTTATGCATCTTTGAGATGAAGACCCTTTTCTTGGCCTCTTCATGATTTCCAAGGATGTGTTGCTTTTCTTGTTGCCAAATTATAGTGAACAGCAGTGTAAAAGGAAGATACCCTCTAAATAAGTACTAATAGGGGAGACCTGTAGTAAATTCTTGGCCTTGCAGCCTAAAAACAGAATGAGGTTGCTCTCTTCAATTCATGGGCATTGTGCACCTCAGCCAGTTTTGATAGAAACACTCGGAGCAGGAATTTGATGATCATAGGATCCCAGACTGGTTTGGGTTGGAAGGGACCTTAAAGCTTATCCAGTTCCAATCCCCTGCCACAGGCAGGGACACCTTCCACTAGAGCAGCTTGCTCCAAGCCCCTGTGTCCAACCTGGCCTTGAACACTGCCAGGGATGGGGCAGCCACAGCTTCTCTGGGCACCCTGTGCCAGTACCTCAGCACCCTCACATGGAAGAACTTCTTAATATCTAATCTAAATCTCCCCTCTTTCAGCTAAAAGCCATTTCCCCTTGTCCTGTCACTAACGACAGGATGATAAACACACCTGAGTCACTACAGCTGTACTCCTGGCCTTGAATGTCTCATTTTTTTACAGCAAATATGTGTAATTTGTATTTGAATGATAAATGTTCCCTGGTTTTAGGTAGGGGAGCACGGCTGGTATACTTCAGGCACTGAGAATGGTTTTTAAACCACAGAATGCTCTTACATGCAGTGAATTCACTTATAAGGGAAACTTTACTCCAACTGCGGAGTCTAATCTCTATAATAACCCAGTTTCAGTTTTCATTTCCTGGGCTAAAATGAGAGAGATTGGGGATTTCTGTTCTACTTTAGCTTTCTGGAGGGGTTACTGTCTGTCTCCCTCCCCTGGGGCCTGTGCTTATCCTCTTTGCTTCTTCCCTTTGTCAGAGCTCAACCAGGACTACAGGCTGAGGTTTATGTTCTACCAGCACTACTGATGTCCCAGGACACTTGAGGAGCTCAGTGCAGCTTCATTTCAGATGAGCCACAGTGGTTAGTCTTCTGCCCCTTGGGATGCCAGAGAGGAGGAGGGATAGGACCAGCTATTTTGGGAATAATAACCTCTGTCAGAAGAATGAGTTAAGGATGACAACAAAAAGCTTTATTTGAAAAAATTATTATGTATTGAAAATATACAGTAGTATCGTCAACCTTCTCCTTGACTCTACCCCTCCCCAAGCATAGGTTAACCCACAAGCCCATCACAGCAGCCAGAGTTAACAATACCAGTCTCCTTTGTTTCCCCCTCTCAATGTGCCTAAATTCTGTCATCAGCAAGAAAACAACAAACAAAAGACCCACTTCTTTCTGACTCAGTAGGTATTTAACAAATCCCAGTCCTCCACAGTGAGGCACAGATGCTTCTGTTTGGAAGTCCTTTCTCTCTCTTGTTCAGCCAAAGCTCTTTTTTTGTTGCTCTTTAATTCGCGGCTGCCCACAGCCTCCTTTTTCAAAGGTAAATGGCAATTTGGAACTTTTTCCTTATAAAACTGCAAGTTTCCAGATGCTTTTGTTTCTGCCTCCACCAGTTTGCATTTGACTACTTCCTCTATTCTGTGTGTCTTGCCATCTGCAGGAAAAAAAAGAGACTATTAAGTTTAGATTTGGGGGAACAGCAGAGTGACGCTGTAAAATGCATACTTATGTCACAAATTGTTTTGGCCAAGCCAACGTGGAATGCTGACCGCTTTGCTGGAATGTGCATAGGGAGAAAGTAATACTTATATTTTGGGCTTTGAATTTTAAGGGGAAAACTCAGTTATGATGTCACCATGCTGTATTTTAAGAGTCTGTTGTACTTTGATATCCAGTGGCCTAACAAACGAAAGAACTCAATGTGGTTACACAAGTGGCTGAAATTTTACACCCCAGATACTATTTGAACCAAAAAAAAAAATGGAAGTATTGAAATGTTTCTTGTCAAAAAGAAAACAAATGAACTTTGTGGTCTCTATGCAGTTACATACAGAAGCGCAGAGCTGCTGCTCTGGATCTCAAGTCGTCTTGTGGTTTGATGGCCTCCATAGCTGCCTGCTCCCACTGCAACACAGTCTGAAATAACACAGGAAGTTAAAAAGCTTCTTATAAAATGTACAGAAGTATCATTGCAAACAACTCTATTTCTTATTCTTTCATATTCAGGGATTTAATGCTCCATAAGGATGATTTTTAGAGAGTAAAACAGACTTAAACCCCCATACCTGTTCTGCCCATCCCTCTGTTTTGCAGTTGCTATGATCAAATTCTTTCAGAGGCACTTCTGAGTGGACCAGGCCTATCTGCATTTGGAGCCGCTTAATGACAGCCTTAACATCCTAGTGAAAAGGGAAATAAAGTGGTCAGAGGAGGAGAACATTTGATTACACTTGTCCAGTAAACTTAAGATGCTTTTTTTACCTTGAGACCTGTCCCAGAAATGTCCAAACAATTCAATTTCTTGAAAGAAAGAAGGTATCCAATTCCCACATCTGTGATTTTAGGGTTACCTGTAAAGGTCAAGTGAAGTGAACTAAGTTGCAAGATGTGGAGAAAGATGATCAGAATACCAAGAAACTATTTGTCCCAAAGGCTAATATTGGCTTTGGCCATTTTTTTGGTAGTATACTTCATGTTTTGAAAGTGAGTCAAAACTGACTTTTTCCCTCTAATGATCAAAACAGAGGTATTTACAATCCCATTTCTCAAACTGCTAACAGTATTTATGTAAGTAGCAAGTGACTGAGACTACAGGTATGACCTATGCCTTCTGGAAAGCTGTTGGTGAAATAGGGGTTCAGTACTTGAAATCATCAAATTAACTGTAGTCCTTCAATACTAAGGAATTGAGTTTCAGAAAGGATAGAGGTTGCTTCTAATATTAAACCATGCAGTACTTACAAGACAAGTCTAATACCAAAAGGTTCTCAAGTCCCTTTTTCAACACTCGGACTGGTGCTGTCATCCTGCGAAGGCCTGCATCTGATAAAGAGTTGTCTTTCAGGAGAAGCTGTTTTACACTGGGAGGAGAGATATAAACAGATGGTTTTTAGTCATTAGATTAGACAGTTTTGCAAAATGTCCTAAAACTCTGTGCCAACCCTTCAGTCTTCTTTGATAATGATAGTAAAAAGTAATAAGAAAAAAGCTTGAGTCAGCAGGACTGATAAATACCTTTATATTGCCTCTGCTAGCTCAACAGAAGCACTTACATGACCAGCTATTCCCAGAGCTCAGGGACAAACTGATCCTAGCACACAAGCATTTGCTTAAAGAGACAATAAGGTTCTTTATACACTCAAATTCTTTAAACCAAGGCTGCCAACCTCAAATCCACTCAAAACTACAAACAGAAAAATGCTTGGCAAAATGGGAGAGAGATTTGGGAAGAGATACAGCAATGATTTTTAAGTAAGCAGTAAGGTATTATGATACAGACGAACAAAAACTGGGAAAAACAACACTAACATGTTCTCCAGAGAACTTCAAGGCAAAATCTTAATGCAAAATGCACAAAAATCTTACGGTAACATAGCATCTCCTAATTAGCAGTCATCCTGCCTATTGATTTCCATTAATTGTCTACTTTTCAATCTATTAACTAAATATTCAACCGCTTGCCTGTGGAAATCTTCATCCGGAACATGGTTTGGGTAAAACTTTGGCTGATAAAGCTCCCTCTTAAGAAAAGGAAATAAAAGTGTAAAACTGTTCCAAATATTTAAGATGGAGCTTTCACCTGGCCAATGCAAATGATAAAAAGTTGATTTAAAACCATGAAACAATTGCACGTTTGTAGGACCTTCTACAGTTCAGTATGTGCTTTCTGTACAACAGATTCTGTAGTCTGGTTACCTCAGGAACAGGCTTTATGAACCAGAATCTTTAAACTCGTACACTGCTGCCTGTGAAACTTCCCTTTAAAGCCACAGCCTGATTCTTTGAACTGCTCAGCGACAGGAAAAGACAGTGTAATTTTTAGATGTGTCAAGAAGTCGGTACCTAGACAGAGCCTCTTTGGTGAGATGTTCCAGCAGCTCGTGTTCATCTCCAAGTTTACAACAGGAGAGATCCAAACATGTCAGCTCACGGAAAGACTTAATTTCTTCTAGCTTTTCAGAGATAACCAGGTATCTGCAGAGAGGAAAAAACCCCAAAGCTATCAGTGTTCAGGCACATAAGAAGGCACCTACATCCTCAAGTGTCGCAAGCATAATGCAGTCATTTCTACTAAGTACCTGTGTGGAAAGTGATAGAAATTACCCTGTTCTCCTACCTGTTTATGCGCAGCCTGCACACAACACATCTGAATTCCCAATCTTCCCCTTGAACAAATGTCATTGTTTTGCTTTGATTCAAAATATTGGCCTAGCAATTAAGACTTCAATTTGCAAACATCACCATTAGGGACTTCTTTACAGATTATTGTTGTATTATTTTAGAACCATGCAAAATCTATAGTCTAATTTACCGTAAATCAATTTCACAAACTGCTCTTCCTCAGTATTTAGCAAGTGTGTAAACAAACCCACATTCATCCAGGTTTAAAATCTACTTCAAATGTAGCAGCATAGCTTGTCAAACAGCAAAATCTTGCTTTTTATATGAATAAATAAGATACTTCACTAGAGACAGAAGGTCCTACAAGACACCTGCAGGACTCCAGCTAGAGCTGTGACTACACTCCAGGCAGTAGTTACTCAGTGGGTTATTTTTTTAGCTGTGCTGGCTCCCTGATCTGATTCACTCTGCAGCCATGCAAACATCTGTGCTGGGACTATTCAGTAGGAGGTTTAGAGATGGAACAAACCACTAAAGAATGGCATGCATGAGTATGCAGTTCGAAGCACGTAGCAGTTACTACCTCACTAATCTCCCCTGCATTTACCTCTTATTGTCCCCTTGGCAAGACAAGCCCCAGATTCACTGATCTCCTCTGAGTTTACCTTGTATCATCATGGCAAGACATGTTGTGCCTCTTCACTGCTGAAATGAGGGGTCCTGACTAATCTGATCCCTCAAGGAACACCTCTTTGGCCATGCAAATAAAGGGACTTTAGTATCTTCCCACTGCAAGCATACCTATGAAACCACCCCATCAATTCCCTTTGCCAGGCAATTCAGCAAAGCAGAAGGCAGTACATATAATCAGAGCATGAGCCGGCTCTTGAGAGATACTATTAGCTCAAGGGGGTTGTCAGGAGAAGAGTGGGCTCTTTTAGAAACAAGATTCATCAGAAAATTGCCTTGATACCTCACTTGCTGGATTTCAAAGACTCAAATCTTAACTCAGCTTTCTGTAACAGCAAAAGATGCCAGAAGTAACTTCATTTCTGAATTAAGCCCATAAAAAGTATCTGTACTAGAGATTAAAAGGGAATAAGTTTAAAAGATGAAACAAAGGATAATTGACCTTGGCTCAAACATTCCTGCTGTGCTCAAAGCACCCTTGGCACTTCAGATGAATATGCCTGTACTTTGATTTTAAACTGAATAAACCAGCCCTCTTTCAAGTGCAGAGATGGAAGATAGCCTGGTTGTATTACTGGGAAATACTTCAGCAGGAGCAAGGCTTCAAAAAACATAATCCAGTTTTCAGCTTGGTAAGACTCTCTCCTAGCGAAAGACAATGTGGGCATTGAGAAGATGGGAAAACTGGTGCTGGACTCTAATCAGAACCTCGTTAAAGCATGTTCAACATGGGCATAGGAGCCATAATAAAGTAAGGTAAACCCTGCCTGACTTCAAAGCCTATAACTTACCTACAAGACTGTATCTTCTTCTGAGCCCCCAAAAAGAAACAGGATGGTAAACAGTAAATAAACCTCCCTTGCAAGGGTGTATTTTACCTGCACAGTCAGCTAAATGTGTTGACATGCTTATAAACAGCAACTACAAAAACATTCCATGAAAAACCTGAGAAGGCATTAAACACAGATTGCTATGGAAAATATTATGGTTAAAAACCAGCTGCAGGTTTAATCCTGCACATGAAACCCCCTGTTAGTTAACATGGACATAGTCCGTTACCTGTACTATGATTTGTACCTTAGAATGAAACCAGCAGCTGCACTTGAAGGAAGGGAATGGGACCAAAGGAAGCAAGCACAAGAGTCAGATAAGGCTCAGGTCATTTCATTAAAATTGGGTGATCACAGCTCAAGAGATTGCTTTTTTAATTATTATTATTTTGGATAAACTAATTTAAGGCAAACTTTCAGTGTCCCAGGAAAAAGCAGCAGCAGATGACAACATTTGTTAGTGAAGACACTCACCTGTTCCTCAGGCATAATGAACACAGCACCAAACTGCCATACGCTTCAGTAAACTTCTGCAGAGCTCTCAGTCCCGTTACTGGTTCTGTGAACTTCTGTCTTGCTTCCGCGGCTGAAAAGAGCTTTTCAGCAATCTGCTCTGGGAAACCAATCAAGGAGTCAATGTGATCAACATTGTCAGAAATGTAACCCAGCACCAGGCTGAAGAGAGACTTGGCCGAGTAGCGGAGGTTCCCCTCCTTAGTGTACGTGAAGATGAAATGATCAGTCCTCTGCCTCCGTGCCCTATCATCCTCCCTGTTCATACACAGCTCCACTGAAAATCCTCTGGAAAACAGCCTAAAAGGTCTTGTTTTGGAAGTGACATGCTGTATGCCGCCTGCACCCTGATTTACCACATGCAGCTTCCCATTTTCACGCACATAGATCGGCCCAGTATCCAAATGGCTTTCTGAGTGGAGCCAGTAAGACATTCCCCTCGACCAGCTCTGCGAAAACAAACCGTAGGTAGGTAAGGAACAGCCACAAGAGGAAAGACCCCAAACCCTGGCATCTCTCCCTCAATGCCCCGAGCGCGGTCACGTAACCCTGCAGTGTGAGGAAGGGCAGGCTGTGTGGAACAGGGGTGTGAGCCGCCTGCCATTAAACCATATCACCAGTCAAAGGGGAGCTGAACCCAGAGAGGGGAAGGGCATTTGCTGTGGCAGGGCCCTGCTGCTCTGTGCTCGGTGCCCATCAGAAGATCCCAGCCCTATACAGGCAAAGAGGGGCTCTGGGGAAGCAGCCTTCAGAGCTTGGCCTGGCTCTGCTGCAGGCAGGAGGGAGGAAGGGAGAGGGCAAATGGCTGACTGCAGCAGGGCAATGGAGCCTGATGAAGAATCTCCCTCCCTGGGAGGTGGGCAGGCTCCTGCTGCCCCTTCCCCACCCGGTACCGAGGGGTTTGTGAGCAGGGGTCCTGGTGGGAGGAGGAGGGCGCAGACCCTGCCATGGAGGGGGCCGGCAAGGGACGGGATCCCGTGAGCTCCTACCCTGCGGGGCTGGGGGCTCCGGTCCTGCGGGGCGGGAGGAGATCGGGCCCTGCCTGAGGGGGAAAGGGGCGCTGGAGGGATCGGGCCCTGCCCTGGGCGGGCGGCGAGGGGATCGAGTCCACCCCTGAGGGGACGGGAGGGGGGTCGGGTCCTGCCCGGGGGGCCTGTGAAGGGATCGGGGTGAGCTCTCCGTGACCGGCTGCAGCCAAGGGGAAGGGTCCCCGCCCCGCCTGGCTCCCGGTCCGCCGCGGCCACAAGGAAGGCGAGCGCCCGGTGCCCCGCTCCCCGCCGGAGCCACCGGCCCGGCCCTCACCTACCTGCCCCGGGAGGGGCCGCCCCGACGCGCCGTCAGCCGGGCCACGGCTCCCCGCTCCCGCCGCCCATCCCGCAGCGCCCGCGGGCGGCGGGCGGAGCCGCGCCGGGGGCGGGGACAGGGAGCGGGCCGGGGCGGCGCGGGGCATGCCGGGAGCGGTGGCTGAGGGGGTTGTGGGGTCCCGCCTGGTCTCCCTTTGCCTTGTGCGGGACGAGCTCTTCCCTCCGCAGCCTCCCGCACCGCCACCGCCACCGCCACGCTCCTCCCGGGGCCCCGTGCGAGGCTCCCGGGGCCGGCTCTGCGGGTGTCGCCGCCGCCGTTGCCTGGTAGCGGCGGCCCCGCGCGGGGATGAGGGCCACCGACTGGTGCCTGAGCTCGGCGGGGGCTGCCCTGGTCCTGGCCACGTCCAGCGACGAGCAGCACCCTGCCGAGAGCGTCGTGGACGGGTGAGGAGCGCGCGGGGCGCTGAGGGGGCGCGGGCCCCGGCGGGAAGCGGCCGCTCCCCTCAGGGATCCGTCCCCCGGGGCTACCGGTAGCGCTGCCCGTCAGCGCCGGGCTCAGCCCCCACCAGGTTACCTCATAACCCCCCGCCATTTGTGAGCCCTGCTGGGGTGCAGGGCCTGGCCGGTGAAGTGTTAACACCTCCACAGAGCTTCCACGTTGTCGTACAGGGGGTTGCTTAAAATACCCCAAATTAAAATGGGTTTGGATGGGGTTTTCTTTGTTTTCTGTGTGACGAATCGCTTTGAAGATGGTTCTAAATGGAAAGCTGCAGGTGAGGGGTTTGTCCTGTTCTCTCCACAGCAACTCAGAAACGTTTTGGACCACGACAGGCATGTTCCCACAGGAGCTCATTATTGGTTTTCCTAAATGTGTAAAAATCAGCAAAGTCGCAATCCAGAGTTATTTGGGTAAGGCTTTATGTATTGCAGCGCCATATGTATCATGTTAAAATCTCTGCCTATACGTGAATCATCACAGTAGTGTAAGTAAAGTGTCGTGTTACAGAAGAAGCCACTTTTAACAGGTTCTTAAAGATTTAGCTTCACAAAGCAATTGTCCTTCACATCCAAAGGTTTCCATAAGTAAAAAAAAGGATGGAAAACCTATCCCGCCTGCACTTTGTTCTTACAACACTTGCATTGAACACGTAACTGTTCTGTCGCACGGAGATGGCTGTTCTGATTGAATGAATAGGACTGCAGTACTGAATGATTTATTTTTATATGCTGGTTTTTAGAATTTCATAGGACAGAACTCTTCTAGTCTTCCTTTTTTTTTAAATGCTATGAAGGAAAATGTGAGGTCTAAGACAGAAAGGACTATAACAAGGTCAGAGCTTGGAGACGAGAGCTTGGCCATGAGCAAAGGCTACACAGAAGACATGAAAACATGTTGTTTATCCAGCTTGGAACATGAGGATGGGGGTTGTGGCTGAGTCCTGACCCATAAGTTAGTGGAAGACTGGATTAGTTAATGCTTTTAAAGTGCCTTGTAGATGAAAAGCGATGGAATAAATAGCATTATCAGTAGAGGATCAGAATTCGTGTTGATGCTTTAAATGTATGTATGTTTTAGTGCGGACCTTAAGGATTGAAAGAAGCGTATCTGAAGACCCTGTAGGTTTTGAAGAGTGCATTGAAAAAGGTAAGATTCTGAATCTGAAGCAGTGGGGATTCTATGGGAATAATGTTGATCCTATGGGAATAACGTGGATCTTTTTCACCGACTCATTTTAACCCCGTGTCTATCTGTTGAGTAGTCAAGTGCAGCTTGATGATTATTTTATTAGACGTTCACGTAATAATCACATCGAAGTGAAGTTTATGAATATTGCTATTCTCTGTAGCAGTTTGGAGATGTAAAATGCTGTATGAGGGCTAAAAGCTCTGCTTGTGCACTCGCTTTTATGTTCCAAAAATTAAAACCAGACTTACACAGCATAATAGAGTGCCATTTTCCTGCATTGTTTGGCTGGTTTGTTGGTTTTTTTCACGTCCCTTGGGTGACATTTTATATAACAGTATAAGGAGTGGGATATATATACACTGGGATACTGCAAAAAGTAGTTGTTCTCTTAAATCACCTTGTAGAAATAAAACCAGAGAACAATTTCTGTATGTAGTTCATGGTCCTTAAACTCTCTTGAACTCTGAAGTCCAGCATTGCACACTATTCTTCATTATCTGCTTTAAAATATCCTTTCTAGATTTGGAACACACAGAAGGACAGCTTCAAAAGGAAGAATTTCCAGTGAGTATTTACAGCCTATGTCCGTAGTGGTTCATGAAATGGGATGTCTAGACTAGCTGGGGAGAAATCAAAACATGCCTTTATTTATGGTTATTGCTAAGTTGATGTTTGAGACAGGAATTTGTAGATCATGGTATGCAATTGCGCTTCCTGACTGCTCCTTTGTAGATTATGGTATGAAATTGGATCTGCCTACTGCTTGTAATCATGTGAAAGAGCTCTTTGCAGGAGCGTGGCAATTCTTCCTCTTTCAGTTGTTGCCTTTGAGGCTGCAGGATTTGGGAGGAATGGTACTATTTTTGAATTCCTGTCATCTCAAGAATCTCTGAAGCTGGCTGCATGTATTAAAAAAGCTTGATTTATGTGTGATTCGAAAACAGACAGAAGGATCTAGATCCTTCGGGGTAACAAACTTCTGCAAGTGTTGTTTGGTAGTTCTGTTACTACAGAAAATGCTATAACATCTTTTTTTCCTTCTACAGCTTCCTGAATTTGAAGCCACTTACTTGCGTTTCATCATCAAATCTGCCTTCGATCACTTTGTATCAGTGCACCGGGTGATAGCAGAGGGCACAGCAGAAAACACTTAGGTCTGGCTTAAATTTGTACCTCCTATTTTTGTTATGTACAGAAGTTATATTTTGATATCTGTAGTGCAGAGAATATTTATCATTAAAACCTTGTATTAAAGTGTTTTTTGAAGGTATGGTTGTAGTTTGTATTCCCCACCGGATTAATGTGTGGAATAGAATAGAATCATTTGGGTTGAAAAGACTTTTAAGATCATTGGGTCCAACCACAATGAAGTATCTTTGTAGTAACAGCTTTTGAGTTTTATAACCCAGACTGTTATCCTAAAACACTTACAGAATCATAGAATAGTTTGGGTTGGAAAGGACCTTAAGATCACCCAGTTCCACCACCCTGCCACGGGCAGGGACATCTCACACTAGACCATGTCACCCAAGGCTCTGTCCGAGCTAGCCTTGAACACTGCCAGGGATGGAGCGTTTACCACTTCTTTAGGCAACCCATTCCAGTGCCTCACCACCCTCACAGTAAAGACCTTCCTTCTTATAGCCAATCTAAACTTCCCCTGTTTAAGTTTTAACCCGTTACCCCTTGTCCTATTGCTACAGTCCCTAATGAAAAGTCCCTCTCCAGCATCCTTATAGGTCCCTTTCAGATACTGGAAGGCTGCTATGAGGTCTCCACGCAGCCTTCTCTTTTCCAGGCTGAACAGCCCCAACTTTCTCAGCCTGTCTTCTTACAGAAGGTGCTCCAGCTCCTGATCATCCTTGTGGCCCTGCAATATAACTGGGTCCATTTAAATTAGTATGTTTATATCAGACTTTATTAATATATGAGTTAAAACCTGCTTTCCTGGAAAATGCTTCCAGTGCACTTTGAGTTGAATAGGAAAAAAAAGGTGTGCAATACTTAAATGGGAGGTATTGCTTCCTACTGTCAAATCCTTCAGCAGTTCTTAAATTGGTAACTTTCTCAACTCAAACTCAAAGGTTAATAGGATGAATATAATATGAACATCTACTAATGTCTGGAAATAACCCAGAGGGGAAGAGGGACAGGGTGAGGAGGGAAATAACCTGAAGCCACATGAAGTGCTGTGGTAGTTTTTTAATAGTTGCAGATCAATCCCTTGTTCCTATAAATATTTTCTACAATCAGGTCACAGCCGTCCCTGCTTTAAGCTGTGACTGTCACAACAAATATTAATAGAAACAAATGTTGGTGGAGATTGTCTTGGTTCAGAAGCCTTCTGAAGACCGTGAAAGTGAATATTTAGGAGACTTCTGTCTATACAAGAGAATCCTCAGCCTGTGACACCAGTTCTTTTGCATACCAGTTGACTTTTGGAGATGGCACCACCCCTCAAGTTCATCCTGCATGATACTCTTTACAAATGTAAATGCTGGTATCAAGTCCTGACAGCTCAGTGGGCCCAACTACTATTCATTACCACGTGTGGTGTAAGCGTAGTAAGATACTACAGTGCAGTAGTTGGGGTTGTAGCAATGAGACTTGAAAACCTCTGGACAAACATGTAATGAACCACTTCATAGATGCTCTTTGGATGCACCTGCAGAGTTCTTTTTCTTCTTGTCTCTTGGTATTTTTATATTCTTTTGCTTCTATCTATGAAACCTTACTCATTGAGCTTTCTTATCCAGACAGTCTTTACTCTGAAGTCCTCTCCGTTTCTGATCTCATTTTTTCCAGGATGGCACGTATTTCCTGGGGGTGATAATTCCAAGGCCCCGGTCCTCCCTGCAAAGGCAATGATACTATACAGTGACACTAAAGTAGACAGAGCACAAGTCCTTTAGAACACAGCGATTACAGCAGGACTACAGGTAGGTGTGCGTGGGCTTCATTTGCATGGCAGCCGTTGCGTGGTAGAGAGTGTATACACAGGTTATGCCCTGTGTGTAACTGTGACAGGGCCAGGATGTGGATCCTGGAGCTGGAGAGTGTTACTGCATCTGAACTTTGGTGTACCTGTGTTTCCTAATGAGCCAGAAGATAAATATTTGAGCAAGACTGAGGTGTACATCAAGTATGTACATCGTAAAGCCCAGGCTGGTTTTGCTGCAAGTCCTTTTCTTTCCACAGTTACAGTGAACTCTGATTTTTCTCTCTCACACAGAATGAAATTGAGTTAGATGTAAAACATTCCCAAATTATTCAGAAATTTAAATATCTCCATATATTATGCTCATTATTATTGTTGATATTTTTTTACCTTGTAGACAACCTTTCCTCCTTGAAGTAGATACAGTCGTTCTGGCAACGCAGCGTATTTTGCACTGCTCAGGTTTTCCATAGTGTCTAAAACCACTGGACATAAAGGATCGTTTTTCTGAAGAAACTGGGCTGCCATTTTCCGATCTTCAAGGCTTCTGTGATTTTTAATAACGACATTGTTTTTAAAAGCCCATCCATCTAAAACAAATGAGAAAGGGAGTTAGCAAGGAACGTTTGGAATAGGTGTTAAGGGTGGGGATACACTGTGATAGAAAGATACCAGGTGGAGGATACGTGTCTTACTTGGGTAAGGTTTGTCAAAGTGTTGGGCGCAGAGGGGACTTTAAAATGGTAAGCAGTGCTGTTGGCTGACACCTGTTCATTTAGCACAGTCACAACAGCATCACTGTTCATTCTGCGTCATTCTACTCATTAAGCCTATAAAACAAAACTTAATCTCTGTGAGAAGTGAAGCATTTCAGCCAGGGCTCATCTTTGTTTTCCAGGAATAACACAAACACATGTTTGCATGCAACTGTTCCTAGGGAAGTAGAAACTAGTTAAAAGGTTTTGAGCAAACTGCTCTAGTGGAAGGTGTCACTGCCCATGGCAGGGAGTTGGAACTGGAGGAGCTTTATGGTCCCTTCCAACACAAACCAGTCTGGGATTCTGTGACTGAGGTACTGTTTCTCAACTACAAAAAGGGATGTATTGTTCAAAAACTTGAAAACTGTAAATGTTGGTTTAGAATACCACCTTAACCCTGGGATATAATCAGTGCTAATGTGTTACCTGGAGTTCAGTGTGGATAAAAGTGTATATAGTTTGCTACATTTTTCAGATTGGAGTCTGTTCTTGAGATGTGTTAAAAATGAATCATTTAAAACCCCAAACACATAACACACTGGCATTTTACACTTAACCTTTGTTCTCTGAAATGCTTTGTTTTTTCCTTCCAAAAGGAGCTGTGTTAACACTGGCAGGAAGGTTTGTAAAGATACGACTGTGTGCTTCACCTTCACAGGGATGAGTGTCTCCAGCAGCAGTACCTCAGTGTAAAGTGAAATGTGTGAGTAAAATCTTTGTGAAGCATTAGGGACGCAAACCAGTGTGTTGCCCCTTTAGATTTGAGGAAGATGTCTTTCCTATTTGCAGTTCCCTCCTTTGCCAAGATACTTCTCTTCCTAAAGGGACTGCTCCATGTCTGAAGTTTTGGTGGGTGTTACTGTGATGTTTGTACTGTACCTACGGCATGAGCTTCTTCAATGTAGATAATGAGGAAATCTGCTGTGGAGCTGAAATCTTGGATGAGCTTGTTGAACTCATGAAATTTTAACATAAATGAAGGTCAGGTGCAGCTTCCAAAATTCAGGATTAAAGGCCGGTTGTCTGGAAAAAAAACAGTTTGTGGTTAAATCAGTGGAGGGAGAAGGGGCAGAATTAGACACACACACTGAATTCAGCCTCTGCCATGGAGTTTCCTGGGCAACAGTAGTAAAGTCATTTATGTTACTTTAGCCCGTAACTCTCCTCCTGGGACATTAAAATTGGCAGCAGGACATCTGCATCTATGCAAAACAGGCAGAAAGATGCTTTCTTTTCCCTAGCTTGCCTCTGACCTGTACTGGATCCAGCAATGAGCTTATCTGAGGGGGACCCATTCCTTTGTAGAGACCACTAAAGGCAGGAGGCACTGTACAGTCACGCAGCTTCTCCCGTATGGTCCTCATCAGATCTGACTCTCAAATGACCAACGTTTCAGGACTGATCTAAAATGGATATACAGCATGTAGCACGTTGCAGCTTCCAAAGATCTATCCTTAGGACTTCAGAAATCCTAAACATGATCATCTGTGAGGTTTTCCAAAGGACAGTGAGTGGTTCAGGGATGGACACACAGAGTCCTAATCCCTTTTAACGAACCTCTTGGACATGTCTTGATTTGTTTTTGCTTGTAGCTGAGCAGAGTGGAAGCTGCAGATTTTAAAGTCATGCATCACAGGCTTCAGTACTTCTGGTGTCTTTCTGCAATGCCCTGTCCGAGCACAGCCTTGTTTGTATCTTACTGTTTATTAAACTAATGTTACACAAGCCACTAGCAAAAGGGTCCCTGCAGTTGCTTACAGATTAACACAGATGTGCCTACAGGTGTGAGCATCTCTTTGCAAGGCCTCAATTTAAGAGGACTTGCAGGATAATAAAGCACCTCTTTTAGTCTATGGTTATGCTGAATTATCTGAAATTTGTTCAAGATCTTCCTTCTGGCTGGGCTTAACTTCAAAACCTGCTGCTCACGGGGATCCATGTCCTAAAGGATCTAATAAGGCAGGTATCTTCCTGGAGATATTGTGTATCTTCTCCAAATTTGCATCCTATTTTCTGCATAAATATATATATATATGTATATAATAAGAAAAGCAGCATTAGAGAAGGATGTAATGCCTCCCATGGGGATCAAAACTGCAGCTTAATGATTAATTCCACATTCTACAGAGGACTCGGTGGGAGGCAGTGGACAAAGTACAAAGCAGCTGCTTTTTCTTCTGCTTTATTTCTAGCCATGTTGGATCTGGAAGAAAAACAACCACCGTGTGCTTTCTCGGCTTTAGGCCAAGGGAGCTGGTGTGGGGCTTTCTGTACAAGGAATGGCAGCCAATGCTTAGGAATCACTGCACACTCTTGTGCCATTGCCTGTGCCTGTTCACTCTTCAGTTGCTGGAGCAGGTCCAGAGAAGGGCTGTGGAGCTGGTGCAGGGCCTGGAGCCCAAGTGTGATGGGGAATGGCTGAGGGACCTGGGTGGGTTTAGTCTGGAGAAGAGAAGGCTCAGGGGGGACCTTATCTCTCCCTACAACTGCCTGACAGGAGGATGGAGCCAGGAGGGGGCTGGGCTCTTCTGTGAAGGAACAAGGGATGGGACAAGAGGAAACGGCCTCAAGCTGCACCAGGGCAGGTTTAGATGGAGCTGAGGAACAATTTCTTCCCCAAAGGCTGCCCAGGGCAGTGCTGGAGTCACCATCCCTGGAAGTGCTCACAAACCGTGTAGACGAGGCCCTCAGTGCCATGGGTTAGTGGTGGCCTTGGCAGTGCTGGGATAATGGTTGGACTTGATGAGCTTAAAGGTCTTTTCCAACCTGGTTGATTCTATGAGTCTATGATCAGCATCATCTCCTCAGTTACCACCTTGGCAAGCCAAACCCATCCGCACAGCTGATTTACTGACCTTGCATGAAATCAAGGAGGTGATGAACTTCCCCGTCGAGTGTCACCACCGGTGTGTTGGGAGCAGGGTGTCCCTCGTAGGCTTCATCCTCCAGCCTCTTCCACTTCACCTTCAGCACAAAGAGCAGATACTTGAAGCTGAAAAACGTTGGGCCCCAGTTTTCGTAGCTGAACTTTGGATTCTCGTTCATTCTGCTCTTTGCACCCAGTTTCAGGATGTATCTTTTCATGGCATTGGGGAACAGAACCAGCAGTGTTTTGCCAACAACAACACACAGAGTAACGTGCAGGAGAATCAGGAATTTTTGGAGGAATACCCTGATGCTGAGCATTGTGGTGGAGGAGCTCTAACAGCTTCTGACAGCAATGCAGGGCAATGGCAGGGGCAAAGGTAAAGGGTGAGGGGGAGGAAAAACATCCACGTGTTTGGCCACATTTCTGCTGTGCCTTGCACACTGTCACCTCTCCCTGGAGTTCAGTGTCTGTGTGAGTGAGGAGCCTGTCAGCAGTGCTCTGCCCACTTACACCAAAGGATTTAATGACAGTGATGGTAGACTTTCAGTGCCACCTGCACGGTTGTAAGGCTGATTCACAGATGTGTATTTTCCTAATGGGAGGAGCTGAATCAGTATGTTTTCCCTGAACCATGGACTAAAGAATTATGCCAGCAGTACCTGAGGGGCTGATACCACCAGCAGTTATGTGCAGGGCCTGGAACACAAGTGTGATGGGGAACAGCTGAGGGACCTGGGGGGTTTAGTCTGGAGAAGAGAAGGCTCAGGGGGATTTTGTTGCCCTCTAAAACTGCCTGACAGGAGGATGGAGCAAAGAGGTGGTTCCTCCCAAGTGACAAGCGATAGAAGAGGCAATGGCCTCAAGCTGCACCAGGGAAGGTTTAGATTGGGTATTAGGAACAATTCCTTCCCCAAAGGGTGCTCAGGCATTGGAACAGGTTCCCCAGGGCAGTGCTGGAGTCACCGTCCCTGGAAGGTATTTAAAGGTTTGTAGACGTGGCACTTTGGGACGCGGTTCAGTGGTGGCCTTGGCAGCAGCACTGGGGCAACAGTTGCACTCAATGATCTTAAAGGTCTTTTCCAACCTGGCTGATTCTGTGATTCTATGAATATGTGTAATGATATAACAGTAAATTATCAAAATACGTGCTATACAGCTATAATTAAACATATAAATACATATATGTACAATACTTATATATATATACACACACAAGCTATGTGTGTATACGTGCACACACTACAGCCGGGCAGAGGCAGCCCCGGCTGCTTCCGCGGGCTCTTTAAGGGGGCGGGCACGTACGGCAGAGGTCGTGCTGCGTGGCTCCTGATTGGTCGGCTCAGCGAGCTCCGCCGGTGTGTTCCGTTGGAGCCGGAGGGGCGGGGGAGAGGAGGGGCGCAGCGCGGCTGCTGATTGGCTGCCGCTGCTCAGCGCCCGCTGCCCCTTTAAGACAGCGGAGCGGCCGCTTCCGGGAGCGGTTGTGCTGCGGAAGCGGAGGTGCGGGCCGGTCCCCGGTGCTGCGGCGGGGCGGCACTGACGGTGCCGCTGTCCGTCTGTCCGGAGGGTCGAGGCCGCGGGGACCTGTTCCTCCAACCGGCGGGTGAATGGCGGCCGTGGATGATCTCAAGTTCCAAGGTAAAGGGGCGAGCGCTGGGTTTGGGGCCCGGCTGACGGGGCGTTTAGAGGCGTTTCTGAACGTTCTCCATGTAAAAGCTGCGTTTGGCAGGTGGTGTCAGGAGTATCTCCAGCTCCTGAGAGGAGATTGTGCGGTGGGGAGCTGGAAACCGTAACCGGGGTTGACCAGAACCCGTTGTGGTGGGGAGTGGAAGGTGCAGACAGGCGGAGTGCTCTGTAGTCTGGAAGGGACCGTAGTTCCTGACTTGTGTACTTTTTGATAAGTAAACGTAGATCTGAAATAAGTAATTTTTTGGAGAAGATTAAAATGAGACATTTCTATAGTTATCTTTAGAGAGGCACCTTCCCTTTGCCATTGTAGAGACGTGCAGGCCCTCAGGCTGAGGCTGGCCTCAGAAAGGAGAAGCCTTGGTTTATCACGGTACAGATCAGCAGGAAGGACTCCCTCATGTTTTATTAACCAAGTAAATGCTCAGCTTGATCCCTGTCAGTCTGAGCTTTAAGACACAGGTTGTATTTGACAAGCTTCAGCTACTGATGGATCCCTTTGTGGGCAATATAGGGGTCTTAATGTAGTTTCTTGAGCCATGAGAATGGAAGCGTTGGTAGCTTGGTCATTGCCTGTCTCGTAATGTACTTATTTGCAGAATTTGACGATGCAGCTAATTTGCTTGCAGCAAATCCTGATGCCACCACAATAAGCATCGATGAGCCAGAAATCCCCAAGAATCAGCACGGCCGCCTGCAGGAGCCCAGGAGAGAAGAGGATGATGAGTTACTGGGAACCGATGACTCCGATAAAACAGAGGTGATGCTCTTACACCTGCAGTGCCTCCATTGGTGCATCTATAGATTGTGCTGACAGCACTGAGAGGTTTCTAGATGGCACCAGGGCATTGTGCTGGGTGGCTGAACACTCTGCTGCTTCTCCCTCACAGGTTACATTCTTGATAGGAGAACTGGCAGAAGCAAATGTGTGTTGGCTCTTCAGTTGGTGTTGTTTGCAGGCCAGGAAGTAGTACTGCAGTGGTGGTGGTTTAAGTTGAGCTGATATGCTGGGAGATGAGCACAGCAGCAGCTGAAAATAAGTGATAGGACAAGGCGGAATGGCTTTAAACTGAAAGAGAGTAGATTTAGGTTAGATATAAGGAAGTTCTTTGCTGTGAGATACTGGCACAGGGTGCCCAGAGAAGCTGTGCCTGCCCCATCCCTGGCAGTGTTCAAGGCCAGGTTGGACGGGGATTGGAGCAACCCGCTCTAGTGGAAGGTGTCCCTGTCCATGGCAGGGGGTTGGAACTGGATGAGCTTTAAGGTCCCTTCCAACCCAAACCAGCCTGGGATTCTATGATCTATGAAAGCCCAGCAGTGCACTTACTCCCATTGGTTTTGCTGTGGGCTTGGTGACTCTGGCAGGAGAGCAGAGAACTTCCTGAAACAGCCAGGGCTTGTTAGAAGGGTTCAGCTAACACAGCCTTTGACAACAGTAAGGGAACTTGTGATGCTAATGAAGCTGTGTGTTATGATGTGGCACAAGGTGGTATCAGGGTGCTCTTTGGAACTCCAAGCCACTGTCCTTGCAGGGAGATAAGAGTCCAGCTGCTGCTGACATTAACAGTAAAGTGGGAAGGGGAAAATGTTAAATAATTCATAATAAGTTCCACCCTGTTAAGTTTGTTTTTTATCTGGGTACGGAAATCATAGAATCATGGAATCACAGAATAGTTGGGGTTGGAAAAGACCTTAAGACCCCCCTGCCGTGGGCAGGGACACCTCACACTAAACCATGTCACCCAAGGCTCTGTCCAGCCTGGCCTTGAACACCACCAGGAATGGAGCATTCACAGCTTACTTGGGCAACCCATTCCAGTGCCTCACCACCCTTACAGTAAAGAATTTCTTCCTTGCATCCAATCTAAACTTCCCCTGTTTAGGTTTTAACCCATTACCCCTTGTCCTATCGCTATAGTCCCAAATAAAGAGTCCCTCCCTAGCATCCTTATAGGCCCCCTTCTGACACTGGAAGGCTGCTATTGTTTAAATGAACATCTGTATGAAATATACAAATATAAAAATAGATACATAAATTGCATGCTTGTCTTATTTTCTGTGTTGCCTTTCCCACAATGCAGCTGCTTGCAGGACAGAAGAAAAGTGCCCCTTTCTGGACGTTTGAGTACTACCAGACGTTCTTCGATGTGGACACATACCAGGTGAATACCCT